GTATCATACCCTGGAGGTTTGTGAAAGGGTTAGAGGAAACATACACAAAACACCTAGTACAAGGTGCAGCACATGCTCAGCATCCAATAAATAGCAACTTTATGATTAATATGTCAGATACATTAATCCTATGAGTTTATTTTCATAGTGATAGGTTCTGTACATCTAAATTTCTTTATCTTCTTACTTTAATAAGATGACAAAGTTTTCAGGATATGAAATTATAACTAGGTAGGTGTGTATCTATTAGTAATAGATAAAAAATGAACTGCATTTGCTTTCTCGGGTCAGTTTGTTTTGGAATATTAAAAATAGGCCAGCATTGCTCTGAGAATATAAAAGATTTTTTGGTGAAATTAAAAACTAAAATCACAGTATATCAAAATGGATTTATTGAACAGATTCACAAAGAGTAATATTTCTATAGTGAACTTGGTAAAATCCTGGTCAATGTGAACATGTACAACAGTGTTCCTACTATGTGCTATGTGCTATATCTGTTGTTTTATTTATAAGTGTGCCTACTGGTTGTGGAATCAATTTAGATATAGAACAGAAAAGAAATATTAAGAGTACATCCAATGTAATGAGAATATGTATTATGTTATGAAAACTTTGTTTTAATTATAAATATACTAAGGCATATACTGAGCTACAATGCAAATATGTATTTGGATGTTGGATCATTGTCAAAATTTTGAAAACATCTTTGTATTAGGATCTTTGGGTCAAACGACATTCTTGTTATTAAAGGATTCTAAGTACACTGTTCAGTGTAAACAAAATCCATGGACACTCAGAGAAAGGAGATATCATATTTGTTTGAAAGGTCAGAGAAAGTGATTGAGATGAGTCTGGTATAATGGGTGGAATGCTGATAGGAAAATGAGGGCTCCTGGGTAGTGACCTGTGAACTATTTTCTGGGAATATAGTGTACTCTAGGCTACAGTCCAAGATACATATGAAAAAAGTACTAAAGTTAGGGTGCAAAGATATAGTAGTCCCCTATCCATGGTTTCACTTTCTGCAGTTTCAATTACACATGGTCAACTGTAAAAAAAATGAATAAAAATAAAGATATTTTAAAAATATTAAATAGAGAATTCCGGAAATAAGCAATTCTCAATTTTAAATTATTTGCCATTATGATAAGCATGATGAACTCTTGTGTCATCCTGTTCTGTCCTGCCTGAGACAGGTAGTGTATTCATGCTGCGTTATGCCATCCATTAGTTACTCAGTAGCTATCTTGATTTTCAGATTGACTGTAGTTGATATCCAGGGCTTGTGTCCAAGTAACTCTTATTAGACTTGATAATGGCTTCAAAGTGTAAAAGTAGTGATGCTGGCCATTTGGATATCCCAAAGAAAAGCCGTGAAAATGTAAATGTTCTCAAGTTTATAAGGAAAGAAAAAAAAAAGGCTGAGGTTGCTAACATGTAGAATATATCTTCTATGTATGAAATTGTGAAGGAGAAAAAAGAAATTTATGCTAGCTGGTTTAGACAGAAGGTGTCCTCCATGTGTGAGACAATGCAAGAAAGTTCAGAGGTGAAATGATTATAAGATCCTTAACATAATCAATGCATTAATCCATTTGAATGAATTAACTGGGTGGTAGTCATGTAGAATGTGGCTGGAGAAGGGAGGACACTAGAGACGTGCCTCTGGGGTATATATTGTGTCCGTGGTGAGTAGAGTTCTCTGCTTCCTGATTGGCATGTTTGGAGTTGCTTTCCTCCTCCCCATCTTTCTGCTTGATGTTCTGCCTCATCTTGGGCCTAGAGCAATGGGGTCAGCCATATATGAACTCAGACCTCCAAAACTATGAGCCTCCAATAAAGTATTCACCCTTTAAACTGGTCCTCGTCAGGCCTTTTGGTCAAGGAAGCAAAATAGGTGACTAGAATACTAGTTTTGCTGTCAAACATCAAACTATAAGTTATGGCTACAGCATGTGATAAGTGCTTGGTTAAGATGGAGAAAACATTGCTTTAGTCTGTATGTATAGGATAAAATATAGTAAAATAAGTATTTTGGTATTATCCACAGCTGCAAGAATCTATTGGGAGTCTTGGAACGTATTTCCTGCAGATAAGGGAGAAGGAGTGATGCAGTTGAAGCCTCACTGGGAAGGACAGACCAAGAAATTGACTTAATCTAGCAAGGATGGTAGATGAGGAGGTGAGATACATAGAGGTCAACTTTAAAAAGTTTAAATCAGCAAAGTCCAACAGGATGGGCAGGAAGCAATACTAGTCAGTTCTATAAAGTAATGAGATAAGTAAAGATGGATTCAATCAAAAAAGAAAAGGACAGCTAGGCGTAGCCAGAGGTAAGGAAAGAATGAGAGGCAATGACAGGATCAAAAACACATAGCAGGGTTGGGGCTGTAGCAGTGGTAGAGCACTTGCCTAGTATGTGTGGGGCTCTGGGTTTAAGCCTCAGCACTACATAAAAATAAATGAGTAAAATAAAGGTATCATGTCAATCTATAACTAAAAATATTTTAAAAAAACATGTAGTAGGGTGACCAGAATAATTGTGACTGGTCTAGATCAATGGGTCTCAACTACCTGAGCGTGCAGGTTTAACTGGGAGGGAAGACTCATATCAAAATGGAAAAGAATAAGATGTTATTTTGAGAAAGCACAATTATGACATTGTTTTCATAGTGAAAATTTCAGAAAGTGTCACTAAGAAATCCCCTTTGAGGTGGGGATATGAAGCCCATTTTAAATGTTGAGAAACCTTATGTCCAAAGCTCCTTCTAGTTTTAAATTCTTTTGGATGAGTGGAGTAAGGCTGAAAGAGGTGACATGGCTAATCAGTGGCAAAGCTGGAACTAGACCTCAAGCCTTATAAATTCCTGGGCAGTGTTCATTCCATTGCAGCAAATATGTGTGATGGTTTCCATTTTACAAATGAAACAATTTAGGCAAAGGGAGATGTAGCTGGAAAAGCTCACTAGTTGGATCCCTGCTGTGTTGCTTTCTGTCAGACTCCTGTTCTGATAGGCACCGTAAGAAACAGGAATGTTAAAGCAGGGAGGGCTTACCACCACAGTCCCATAGTGGGCAAAATATTATTTTGAACACACCACTATCCAAATCATAATCATATACAACTACAGGAGCTCAGAAAGTAAAATAATGAAGCACTATATAGCAGCTACATTCTAAGATCTCCTATCTATAGAAGCTATTCTCTCTCCTATATATCATTATATATCTAAGTCATACTTACAGGCTTTGAAAATTAGAGTCTTCATGACTATAGAAGGGAGACCAATAAAGTAGATGGAGGGGATCAAGAGGGTAGGAGGAGAAGAAGGTGTGGGAAATACTGAGGAATGAAATCAACCAAACACTGCTATGTCCATGTATGAATATGCCACCATAAAACATATGTGTGTACACACACACACACACACACACACACACACACATATATATATATGTCATTAAAATAACAATAAAAGTAGAGGTAAGAAGAGTGGAGCAAGAGGATCTAGGGAGGGAGACAGGGAGGAAAAGGGAAGGTACTAGGGAAGGAGATTGATCAAATTGTTATATGCATATATGAGTATGGCATAATGAATCCTATTGTATAATTACAATGGGCCAATAAAAAATCAATAAAAAATTAAGAGTCTGTCTCCTATTTCTAATTTTTCTATTAATGTCATGATATTTTCCATTAATCAATTGATTTCACTGTGTGTCTCTTCCAACTGCACATTTCTCATAAACTTTGAGGACAGCTTATGAAAATGAAAGAGCATTTTTTTCCCCCTTCAGTAATGTTTTCACAGTTATAACTTTTGAGAACAATTTCTTGAGAGATGTTTTGGGAGTTGTATTCCGGAACATATTATCTTCATGGTCTTCCCCCTGGTAGGATGGAAAAATGATCTTGCCTTGAGAGTTGCACTGAATCTTCTCGTTTCAGTAGAAAAGATAAATATTCCACTTACAAAAGCTGCAGGAGTAGACAATAAGCCAGGGGATGGCACGCCTGGGAGTGACCACAGGAAAAAAGACAGATTCTCACAGGACATGCTGAGGCATGAGAGTGTGTTGCTACCAGTTGGTTGCACCGGGGAATCTCCTGAGCATCTGGGAGGGAAGGGCAGAGGCAGAGTTAACAAACCTTTCCTGAAAAAGGAAATCGAGCAGCCCAGGCACTGGGTGGGAACCTTACCCTGGTCAGGGTATCAGTGAGATCAGGGCCAGAGTAGCTCGGCCCTGCAACTAGGAGTGCTGCTGATTTCTCTTGTTTTCTCACTGTTTGAGTTGCTGCAATCCTCACTTACAAAGCATCTTCTGGTCATTGCCACCATCACCACATTATGGCAGCCAACTGACAAGTGACCACAGTGCCGTGTGAAACGTGCTTTGCAAATGTGGGATGAATAAAAGTGCTAGGAAGCAATATGGAGGGATGGGAAGAGGAAGGACTACTACAAAAGGCAACACTGGGGTTGGGATTTTTTCCAGGTAGGAAAAGGGTATGAGTGTGCCTTTTTGGGAAGGGGGAGAAGAATTAAGCAATGAGTAACATAAGACAAGGAGGTAGGTAAGTGCACAGATGTACTCAGACAATGACCGAACTGGAATTCACGAGGGACTAAGCTGGGATTGGATTTAGATAAACCTCTCTTGCTACAGAAAATCTGAGACAGATACTTATTCTTGCTAGAGTATTTTGAGTCTCTTCTTGGATGGTCTTAGAAAGAATAGTGAAAACTGTAGGTGCGTAAATTGAATATAAAAGTGTCCACAGGTTGAAAGACCAATCTGAAGCCTTTGTAGGAGATAAGGTCCCAGAAAATAAGGGCAGGAACTGGAGCAACAGAAACAGAGTGAGACATGGGACCCAGAATGAATAGAATCTTAGTGACCAGTTGATAGGGAACAGCAGAGAAGGGAATGAGGCAAGAACAACTTTTGTCACCTGTTCTTTCTTAGACTGATTTCCATAGGATACATTCTCTGACCTGAAATTACAGAGACATAGAAAATGTTAACTTCTATGGCTCAGGAAAAATGATTTATATTGCCTTCTTCTTACATGTACATGTTGCCTCACAAGTTGGCTCCTCCAAGCTGTGATTGATTCACTTCTACTTCTGTTGCTTTGGTGAATGTAACTATTCTCATAAATTCTTGGCAATTACATTAATTTACTTACTGGTAAAATTAAAGATCTTTTTCCTGATTAAGCATTTCTTTTTTTCTGATATCATCACATCTACTGTTGACTAGCTGTGTGACCTTGGGAAAGTCATTTCACTTAAGCCTTAGTGTTCTTATCTGCTCATAGGGGAGAATAATTACACCTCTTGAGGGGACTCTTGTGATGATAAATGAGATATGAGAATAAAAGCCTAGCCTTGGCTTGACCCAGAGTAAGAGTTAAGTAAATTACCACTTATAATAATAAGTCTTGATGCTATTACTTATATATTTATAACATATGCTTCATTTCTTATATGTTCATCTATTAAAATAAGAAACAAAGAATGTATTCTTATCTATTTACATATGATAGATCACATATATAATTTGTCTTTTATTACATGGAAATTATTAATTTTATTCAATATTGTATTTCACTAAGGGGGCAAAGTCAGATTTTAGACCTGGGATAAGCATAGTCTTAAATTTGTCCTCATAAGTTTGTCAGATATTAAATTTATATAAGTTGGTTTTGTTTCTGAGTCATCTATTTCTTTCCATTTTTCTACTTTCATGTTTCTGAATCTGTAAGCACTCTTAAAAGTGGTCACCTCATACATGTCCTTAATCTGGTAGGGCATGTTTTCCATCATGATTCCTTGGGAAGTGATTTCTTTGATATTTGGCCATTAGTTTTAAAATTCTTTTCAGAGCCACTTTGTGAAGATATAGAAGTAATACTGTGGCACTCTCATTGGAATCTTGTTAAATTTATTATTTCCCTTAAGAGGGACCAGCATGTCTACTTTAGCATCTATTCTTTCCTGTCTACCTTCACTTAGTCTTCCTGACTTTTTCCCATCATGTTTTGTTGTTTTCTTCATTTAGCAAAAGCCTGGGGAAGAGAAGACTTCAGTTTTAATTTCAGATTCCTGGGAAACTGACCTATGCAATAATATTCTTGGGAAAGTGACTACAGGCTTATTTTGAGGAATCATATGAGGGTGACTCTATGTACTGAGAATCTAACTCACATCTGTGCTTCTACCAAGGAGCCAATATAATTCATTTTCCTCAGCTATACATTGGAGACATCAAGACTTGTTTGATTAGCTAAACCACTCTATTGCAGTCAGAGCTGTTCATAAACATTATAAGATAATGCCTTCAAATAATATTCTAATTAAAAATCTTAAAATATAAACAAGGATATATCCTAATAAAACGTTAATGTATAAACATTTTTCCTTCCCAGACTGTAAGATTCTAGAGGGGAGGAACTATGTTTTCTTCTCTTGGCTTTCATAATACTTTCCATGATGCTAGACCATAAGAGGAACTCACTGAATATTGTGTTAGTGTAACAAATATTAATAATTTTTTTAATTACAAGGAAAGAGAATAAGTTTTAGGAATAGTATGGACTGGAGAGAATGAATTTATTCAATCTCACTAGGACACTTACTTTCTCTTACATATAATCTTATAATTCAATATTAATCAATTTATTAATAGTTTTTTTTTTTTTTTTTCCGGCTGGGCTCCCTTGTAGTTAAATTTTAAGATAGGGTATAGCTACTTGTGATCTTCCTGCCTCAGCCTCCCAAGTTCCTGGGTTTATAGGCATGTGCCACCACGCTCAGCCTCTTGTTGTAAAATTTTAAACCTTTTAAATTAATGTGATTGTTGGTTGTGGTGGCACACGCCTGTAATCCCAGCGGCTCGGGAGGCTGAGGCAGGAGGCTGAGTTCAAAGCCAGCCTCAGCAAAAGCGAGCAAAAGCGAGGTACTAAGCAACTCATTGAGACCCTGTCTCTAAATAAAATACAGAAGAGGGCTGGGGATGTGGCTCAGTGGTCAAGTGCCCCTGAGTTCAATCCCTGGTACCAAAAAAAAAAAAAAAAAAAGAAGAAGAAATTACTGTGATGTAAGTTATTTGTATCCTTAGAACCTCCCTAGAATTTCCCCCTTTGTGTGGCCATGCAGCTGAAAATAAGATAGTAGCGGGGAGCTAAGTGAAGGAGGAGGTGGGAGTGGAGGGAAACACTATATAATTACCCAACATTTGACTCCAGGGCTAAGAATCGGGGATATGCCAAGATCACAGTAATCATCATTGTCATGCCAGATACTAACCAGAAGCTTTCCACATACTGTTCTTAACCTTAAATTAAAGGTGAACCAGAAGAACTTCTGTCTGCCAAAATCATAGTTCAGGATTTTTCTTTGCAACCTTTCTGGCTGCCTTAATGTCTACAGCTAAAACTCCTTTCTCCTACCACGTCTGCAATATGAAAAGAAGATTCCTTATGTGGGACTTTGACTGTTCACAGAAAAGAATACTTTGTTTAGAATTACCATTTGTGGGAAATTATTAAGTATACAAACACATTCCAGTGATTTGATATCTTAAGCATTTGCTTTTTTTTTTTTTTAATCATCTCAAGGGCTAACAATCTGACCTTGTCGTGAGAACTGGCCAAAACTCAAATATTTGCATTGAGGAGCTTCTAGGCTTTTTGGATCATTTGTAACATGGAGCCAGACACAGATGGTTTATGTAGCAGAATGACCTTTCAATTTTCTGAATAAAAATAAAGTGAAGTTTTAAGGTACAACATCACTAATGTCTTCTTTGAATCCAAATGCATTAAAAACTCACTCTACTTACAAACTCCAAAGGGAAGTCTATGAGTCTTATAATACAATCTGCACAGTAGTTTAGAAAGCACTTTCCTCCAAATTGTCTAATGCTGAAATCCTCATTGTAACTCACTAAAGTGGATAGATTTTATTATTATTTCCCTTTCCCATTTCCTCCTAGGCTTTTCACTGCACAGATGGATTAACTAAGGTTAACCAAGAAAGTTACAGGACTCAGCTCCCAACCTCATTTGTTGACTTCCATTCCAGTTTCTCAATCCTGACACTACTAAAATTTTAGGTTGGACATGTCTTTGCTGTGGAGGCTTTCCTGTGCTTTGTCAGAGGTTCAGCAACATTTCTATCTACCTACGAGATGTCAGGAGCACAACAATTGTGAAACCAAACATGTCTCTGGATATTGCCAAATATACCCAACGGGAAGAGGGGTGCCACTTCTGGTTGACAAACACGATGAACTTTTCAAAATGCCAATTCATCTATAAGTGACAATTAACTCCATTTCAGAGACCATTTTCATTTCATGTTGTCTGCCTGGCAGGACACAATCGCTAGATGTGTCTTCAGAACCAGCTGGGTTGTTCCCAGCAAGAAGATTGCAGGCAATACTCTCAACATTTGTAAAGCTCTTATTCAGCTGGGATTGTCTCACTCAGATTTAAGAGAGAAATCCTGGGGAGGCTTGGTTTTCTTTCTGAGAACACTCAGACCATGATGTATACAAAATGAACTTGGTGGCCAATAAGGCAGGTCATCAAATCTGTTCTCCATTCTTGGCACAGAGGAGGACTGTGTCTCCTGGCCCTCCTTTTGACTAGGCAGTGCCTGGTAGAAGTGCTGACTGATGAACTGAGTGGAACTGGGCACTATTTCTAAGACAGAATACTTCACCACTTGACAAGACAAGTTCCCAAGTTTCTTTTCCTTCTGGTAACCAGTTGGTGGTTGCTGAGTCTTTCCATCAGTTTGGGGCCCTAAGTGACCATAATGAGCAGAATAGTCCTGCTCATCTGTTATAAATATATAGCGTGAGCAAGAAATAAGTCTATGTGTTTGAAGCCCCTGAGATATCTCTGTTACTTTAGCATAGCCTTGCTTATTCAGGCTGATTGAAGAGCTGAAAGATGAGAACAAGAAAAAAAAAGGATTTATATTAAATCAAAATCACTTATATTAAAAACAGAAAATATAATATATAAAGTCACCTAGAACTTTCTTAGTCTTAGGGTTTTATTCTGAAAAAGTCTCTATTTTTATACATTAACTGTTTAGGATTTGGAAATTTTTTTTTTTACATAATATATATTTCATTTTTAATGTGGTGCTGAGGTTTGAACCCAGTGTCTCACACATGCTAGGCGAGCACTCTACCACTGAACCACAACCCCAGCCCCTGGAAATTGTTTGAATGTAAGTTCCTACATGTCTGATAAAGTATCCAAATTTTACTATTCTATTATGACAGACTCCTTCATTCAAATATTCAAATAATATTTACCGATCACTAAATATATGACAAGTATTATTTGGGGATAGTTTCCCACTTCATATTGATTTTGATATTTTTCTCATGATAAAGACTAAAAAGAAAGGAGGAATTCATTCTAATATCTGAGGGAGCAGGGAGATATTTGGGAAACAGATTTAAAGTGTTTGGTTTTCTTTTAGCTTTCCATTTGCAAAAGGATTATTAGAGAAAATGGAAATGATTCACATGATTTACCAGGAATTTCCTACTATCACCTCTTGCTTTCTTACCTATAAACTGGGGATGTTTCTGTAAATTTCCATTGGTGTACAGTTGACCATTGGCCTTGGAGCAAACAAGGTTTGAACTGTGGCTTCCAAAATGACTGGGTGGGTGGTTTCAGGCAAAACTGCCTCTGTGCTTTACTTTACTCAGCTGTAAAATGGCAATTCCAACAGTGTCCAGTTTATAAGGATATTGTGAAGAGTAAACAAAGCAGGAAAGGTTTAGAATGGTGCTCATCACATCAATGCTCAGGTAATGTTAGTTCTTTTTTTTTATTCAACAAATATTTATTGAGACCTACTGTGTAGAGCACACCTATCCTATGTTCCGGACTGCTAGCCCATTTGGATATGGCTCCCCTTGTTTCTGATGCCTTTTCATTAAGGAAAACTCATAACTGGGG